GGCCTATTGAGCTGACCCCCTCTCCAAACCAGCCCAAAACTAGGTGCGCGGCCTAAGATCCTTTGGGCGCCTAGGCATTGGGCAGCTTGTCTTTAAACTATGCATATAATAGAAAGCTGAGCTCTCAATTTCTCTTTGTAAAATAGGGTGGATTTTGTGCCCCTTCCTCTCACCAAGATAGGGCTGGTTGAGCTCTCCCATTATCTTTCCTCTCACCAAGATAGGGCTGGTTGAGCTCTCCCATTATTTTTCCTCTCACCAAGATAGGGCTGGTTGAGCTCTCCCATTATCTTTCACCCTCTCTCTAATGCCACACACTCTCTCTCTCCCCCCAAACCACAATAGAAAGTTGATCTATCATTTCTTTAAAATGAGGTATGTAGAAAAAACCACGTCTCTCTCTAAAAAAGGAAAATTTGAGATCTTCCTTTGTTTCTCTAATATTGAGCTCTCTCATTCTCTCTCTCTAGAACCACTCACTCCCTCTTTATCTGTGTCGTGGTGTGGAGCTGGCAATCGAGGTCACCACTATGACTCTTCATACTTTATGTGGTCTGTATTTGGGGTGCTCGCCATTTCCTCTGAATTCTTCATAGGAAGAGGTTTCTGAAATAGTGGAGCATGCTTTAAAGGAGAAAACCATAGATGAAACAACTATGTAAGTTGTAGGGGTATAAGAGTTATCAAACAAAGTGTAGGCTCCCTAACTCTACTATTGTAGTTAAAGAGCTTTGGTACTTTTTGTTCTCATTGTTATCTCCTCATATTTTTTCACTCTGGTGCTCTCTCTCTCCCCATCATAACCTTACTCTATCTTTGATTCATTTCTCATGATTTCCTTGCTTTTTTTGGTGCTTTCTCACTCATCACTTCTTTCTCTCTCATAATTTCTCCCTCCTTCAATTTCTTTGCTCTCTTTTGTACTTTCTCCCTCCTTCCTTAACCCCAAAAAATAAAACAATAAGAAAAAAAAAAAGAAGACAACCTCTTTCACCCTAATTGCAGATTCACTGAATTAATGAGTTTTGATGCCAAAACTCTTTAACTCTTTAGGTCTCACAAACTTGGAAATTTAAGACTTCAAGTTTTAAATATTTGTTTCAAACCCAAAATTTTTTTTGATTAAAATAAAAACATAAAAACCTAGAGATTTATAGAAGTTTCTCAAATGGTCCTCATGCCAACCCCATAACCCTTTTTGATGGGGAAGAAGCCTTGTTTTTTTTTGGGTAATTCAATGGGGATTAGTTCCCTACCGCGTTGTAGGAATAGAACTGAAGACGTCATGTTGTGCCAACCCACCACCTTGATCACCAAGCCTTGAGCCCATCCCTAGGAAAAGGAATTTTTCCCCCAGCCTAATGCATGTTTGTGCCCTCCGATAGGGGCTTGGGGGTGAGCGCTTGGTG